ATATATATATATATATATATATATATATATATTATCTATATATATATATATATATATATTATCTATAGATGGCTCGCTTACCTCGCGGGTTGTAACAATTATGTACTCATATAGTATATGTAAAGCGACCTCGGAGCTCTTCGCAAAACTTGTACGTGAAGGGGAAATGCAATTAGTTAATGACTGTAGTCGGACTCGCATCGTTAAGAGATTGCCACGAGCGCAAGTAGTGAATAACTATGGTCTACTGTAGGTCATGCCGCCCTGTAGAAGACACTGTAATATGCACTATATATTATATAGTGCATAAATGCCAGCGTCTTCTACAGAGCAGCATAACCTTATATATATATATATATATATATAAGGTCAGCTAGCGGCGGCGGCGAGGGTACGTCGCATACCGGCGGACATGACCCCTGTGTAGCGAAGACGCGGGTCGTAAAGTACAAAAAATGAGAAAAAAACAAAGGCCCGGTTACCCATATATCTGTCCGGCCGCGCGCGCGCCGGTCGAGTCGAATGGTGATATATCATTCGCAAATGTTTGTTTATCGCAGAGCAAGGCGGGCGCGGAATCGACGCGGTTCTGTCGGAGCGAGTGGTACTTGCACGGCGGAGATCGCGGGCGAGTCTTCCTCATGACGTCATCCGGTCAAAAAACGGAAGAGTAAGCCGTCTACGATCACACCTCACGCACTGTCACTCTTCCTGGTTTCCTTCCTCGCCGATAGATGTCGCTGAACGCGTCAGGTGAGAAATGCCGGGAGCGCGCCTGGCGTCCCAGCGACACCGCACGGCGAGTACTTCATCGCATTTTGCATCGAATCGTCCGAGTTTTGCGTCTGGTTTGCGGGACTCGCCGACCGACGCTTCTGCGGCGTGCTCTTTCCCTTCGTGTTCGGCAGATTGTTGTCCTTCTTCCATTTCATGCGGCGATTTTGGAACCAGATCTTGACCTGTCTCTCGGAGAGCGTCAGCGTCTTCGCGATCTCGATGCGTCGCTTCCGCGTCAGGTAGCGATTGAAGTGGAATTCTTTCTCGAGTTCGAGAAGCTGCTGGCGCGTGTAGGCAGTGCGGATGCGCTTGTGAGGGCCGTCGTCACCTGTGTACGAGAGAGAGGGAGATTGATATGTATGTGATATATGAGATGTGTGTGTGTGTGTGAGACAGAGATAGAGAGAGAGAGAGAGAGAGAGAGAGAGAGAGAGAGAGAAGAAGAAGAAGAGAAGAAGAGAGNAAGAGAGAGAGAGAGAAAGAGAGGCAATGTGTGAGAAAGGTTGGATGTGGGAGAAATGTTCGGTATCACACAAACACACGCTGACGTACGCACGCATACACGCAAGCACATACGCAAGCAAACGCACGCACGCTCGCACACACCCACACAGACGCATGCACGCGAACACGCGAACACGCGCACACGCCCGCACGCAAACACCCTCACACATACACAAACACACGCTGACGCACGCACGCACACACGCAAACACCCACACCCACACACATACACAAACACACGCTGACGCACGCACGCACACACGCAAACACCCAC